TATAATCAATTTGAAATTCTTTTAATTAACATATTATTTATTTAGTTTTATTTACTATATTGTCTGTATTAATTAACATATTATATTATCAAATATTTATTTTTATTAAATTATGAATCGTAATCGTTCAATAATTTCATCCACATCCTTCGTCTTATATTTAAATCGATCTTTCTGATGAAATAAATGTTTGGGACTCTTGTGATCAGTGTAAATTTGACATTTCAAACCGTATCTTCAATGCAAAAATTACCGTTGTCAACTCCATATCTTGAGTAGGGTCATTTTTTCATGAGTTTTCAATTACTGTAAGATAGGCGATGGCCTTCCCATGTGGCAAAAGCACAAACCCAATCCTAACTTGGAAGTTTCGCTATAGATCACAAACATTTCCGACCCATTCAGTAAAGATAAGATCGATGTTCTACTCATCTTTTCTTTCAACTGCCTAAACGCCGTCTCTTGAACATAAGCTCACTCAAACTTGGACTCTTCTTGGTTAAAGCGGTCAGAGGTGTTGTTATTCACGAAAAGTCTTGAATGTTAATAGTAACCCGCTAAGCCTAAAAAACTCCTCACTTCGGGCGACAATCTCGACGGTTCCCAACTCTCGGTGGCTTCAATCTTAGCCGAGTCTACCTTGATTATGTTCTTGGAGACTAAATGCCCTAAGAATTAAACCTCTCGTAATCAAAACTCGCACTTCAAAAATTTTACAAACGTACAGTTTCTCACCCTTCAATAATTCCAACACTAGACGAAAAAATTCCCCATGCTCATTTTTCGACCAAGAGTAGATCAAAAAATATAATTTATCAATACAATCACACACTTATTGAAAAAAGGATTGCACACACAATACATTAAATCCAATTTACATTTTAAACCCTTGAAATCAAGGTCACATTTTTGTATTGCCCTTCAACTTCATTTAAATGCTAAAAAATTAACTTGGAATTATTATATAGATTATCAGCAACTTTACCAAACATAGCTAAATATCATGAGAATATAAGAATAGAAGATTCATTTGTGAATCACTGAAAATAATGTATTTAAAGATAAATATATAAACTAACATTACAGATTATTCATATGGGGTTCACATATGTATCTTAAAATATATTTTTACAATATTAATATATAAATATTATATTCTTACAATATTTAACCATTATATTTAAATCTCAACTAA